ACATAATTGTGGTTGTTTCTCAACACAACTTAATTTTGCATTCTGTGAGGAGGGAAAGAGGAAGTCTTTTGTTTAACTGATGAACAATACTGCAAATAAGACATTAGGCTGTGCAAGAGTCATAACAGAGACCAACTTTTGGGAAGTTGCATTTCACCTCTTTCATTTATAACGGACTGTCAGTACTGCTTGGGCAGTGTCCTTTTTAATGCGAGCTTTAAAACCTTAAAAAGAAACAGAGACAATTTAAGTTTTAGTAATTAAATTAAATTATTTAAATGATAAATAATTTTATATTGTGTAAAATTAAAAATTTAATGTAAATAAAGGGGTTTTGTCTAAATTTAAACTATATGACACGTGGAGATTTCTGACAAAATAAAAAAAATATTGTTTTGGATTCAAACTTGTATATACCATCACAAAACATGAATGGAGTGGGATATAAAATCTGTTTATGTACATCACATCGCAGACTTAGAAGATTGTGCATCATTTATAATGTCAAGTTGATTTTGCAGGCTGTTTTAAGATTCATAGTAGTTGTTGCACAGTCTTAAGTAATTTTTTTATGTTTGACTTTTTGTTTTCATTGTTCCTGCTCTAACCTTTATTTGTAACAATATTTGCTGCCCTCATTTTTACTTGGACGTCTTATATCTGTAGCTTTTCAGTCTAAAGTTAATTTTAACATCGAGTGTTTGAATTGATGCAAATAACTTTTTTTTTATTTTCAGATCTAGAATAGTAAAATGTCTCTTTCAGCACTTGGATAGTTCTTCAAACCCATGGAAAGCATGCAGTTTCTAGGTCATATTTTATGCCCTAAGGGTGCGTTTGTCCATAGAAGGATGATTAGATTGTTAGGCAGCCACTCTGGATTTAGATTTTCCTTCTTTAGAATTTGACTTGACATTATGTTGAATCATGAAAATAATCTAAATAAATAATAACCAAACTTTATTTCATGTTGTAAGCTCTTAAAACCCAGAAAAAATGCTGAGGTAGTTTTTGTTCTACTGTATTTCATATTTTTTATTGAGGTTTGGTTAGACTTTTTGTGAAGTGTGCAGTTTCTACAGTGTACATTGTGCTTATATTCTTCTTACTGACTTTCTTTTTGCCAAGTCCATTTGCTGCAAAACCGTTCCATACTGTTATATAGGAGGGATGCACGATATCACTCAAATTTATTGTCACTATAATAACAGCCTGTGCAATAGGCACGTTGCAAATAACTGCATAAACTGCAATAAATGGTTGGCTCAAATATTTGTATTTATGTATTTTGTAAATTTCCATCTGATGAACAAAATGGACCAAAGTTACCACATCAACCAATTGATCAGTGGAGAAAATGAAGGTCAACTGTAGAGAGAGAATTTGCAGTTTAATTTAGTTTTGTTAACTTTTATTTAAAATTATTTAACTTATTTTCTTATATATTTATTTATAAAAAAAACTGATAGTACTGCATTTTCAGTATTTAAAGCATCAGAAAAGATTTAATGGAGATGATGTAAAGTCATTACAAAACTCATTTCATGCAGTTTGTTGTTTCACTTCTACTGCAGCATCTGTGTGTAGTTTTATTTTTTCTAAAAGTAAAACTCATGTTGTAAAGGAAATTATGTGTTGTTGTTTGACAGATTTCACCACTGCAGTATTTGTTAATTAATTGCAAGTTATATCGCAATATTAAGCACAGTTACTGCACATCACAGGTTTTCCTGATATCATGCAGCCCTAATATGTAGTAATTATTTGGGTATCCTAGATGGGCCTCCTGCTTCCTCCTGCATTGTAAATGAATGAAGTGACAGATGCAAATGACACACCGTGATGTTTCTCTTGAGCAAACAAATGGGAATTCCCAAGAGTCATTTAGGTTGGTCTGTTTATGACCTTTCCCCTTTTGACCAGAACTAATTCTGAACTTATGCTAAACCCATTCATTCAGACAGATGGAGATATGACAAGACCAACGTTTCTAACTGCCTCTCTTTGTTATTAAAACGATTTTGTGCACACTTAGTTATACAAATGGATTTCAGTTGCTCCTGAATAAATAACATTTCTTATCATGATATTGTACGCAACTTTTCCAGGTAAGGGGTGATAATTATTTTCTCACATTTAGGTAACATATCTTTGCTGTACCTCATTGTATCATCGCACATAAAATAATCACAGTGATTATTATATTTAAAGAACTGTGGTTGGGATGTGTCATGAATAGTTATAAACTCGAATTATTTTTGTCTCTTAATATATTAGGTCATCTGCATGCCTTGTCGGTTAAAGGACGTTACACAAAAGTGGAACTAACTAATCATCATTTCCTTTTTCTTGTTCTTTTTTTGTGCGCTTCTAATATGGGTGTTGGAGCTAAGTATATATGCCTGAATTGCAGTTTAGGATGTACTGACTAGTTAACATGTCGTACTGATGACTTTGTAGTAATATTTTTGTCAGATATCTGTGCTTTTGACATTGTCATTCAGATAATCTAGAATCACGTTTTGATTACTGTATGACTATCAGAACAGACGGTTTTGTAAGTCACCTACTTATTTTAGGAGTGGAGTTGCTGTCAATTGCTAAATGTTTTACTTGTTGTAAACAACAGGCAATTCTGGTTTATTGTTTCTCTTCTTGCTGCTATAGTGAGAGTTGATGGTAGAAATAATGACCCGCGGACCATACACAAAAAGAACCGCTTCACCTCGAGGCTTCCTGGTGGTTTCCTGTTTCTTAGTTGACCCATCTTTCCATGTTACAGTCTGAATGAGATTGGTCTTCTGCCAACTTTCAGTCACCACGACCAGCCTACTTGCATGTCAGCTTTTCAAAACACTACTGCTGGATTTCTATTGACCAGCAATATGAGCTCTGAAGTAGAGACCATTCTGCCAAAGCATAAACATGCTCTTGCACATTTAGGCGGTTGGATTTTTTTCAGGGATAAGACTGAAGTCAATATATCGATTTATTTGCAAAGCTTATTTTAAAAACAAATACTCCTTCATATGTGTTGACTACTGAAATACTTTATGCAATGACATGACAGCATGTGCAATATGACACAGATTGTGCAGTTTATAACTTGTCTGATTGATTTTCAGTAAATGGGTAAAGTATTATGGGAAAAACATAAAACATGCATATGTCATGTTTTTCCTTACTGCGGTTGTATCTCCTTAAGTCATAAAATGTACTAGCGTCAATCCCATTGGACGATCTTTATCAGTAACATTAGCCTACTGTTCCTGGCAGCCCAATTGGTAAAAGTCCATTGATAACAATGAAAGAGGATTTTCCCTCTGTGGTAGCTCTGTCTGAGACAGTGCAGCAGTGTGGAAGTTAATCCCTTAATCATCTTCTTAGCACAGTTTGGTAACAAGAGACCCAGATGCACCTAATGTGACCTAATAGCTGCCAGTCTGTGTTGCCTCGTCAGTAATGATGTGTAGAAACCACAACTGTTGTGTTAAAACTGTTCAAACGAAGGAACAGTGTATTAAACTACCCTACAATGATTACATAAACTTCTTATTCTGTGGTATGGTGAAATATCTACTAGTAGATATACTAGTAGCTATAAGATTTTAAGATTTTTATTTTAGTTTGCTAAATGTTGGTAAATATTACTTTATATGTTAAATTAACATACTGTAAGAACCAGTGCAAATAATTAATTTTTTTCATCATGTTATGAAATTATGTGTCATTATATGGCGTCAAATTTCTGTCTTTACAATAAATAAATCTTTAATACTATTATAAATTGATTTTGAAGTTTTGTCACAAAATGTTTAAAGCTTTTACTCACAAGATCAAGACCTGGTGAGGTTTATACTGTATATACTAAAGTGTAGTTGTAAACTGAACTTCCTTGGCAGCTAAACTACTGCTCAGTGTCACTTTGTGCACAATGCTGTTTGGTTTACTTGAATTTTTTTAACAATGATGGCCCCTTTCAAACTTTTTAGGGCTCTCTCTTACTCTGGATTTTAGAGAGATTTTAGCTGTTTTTCTCTCTGTTTTCACATGTCTGCACTCAATATTGTGTCCATTTTATCCCAGTGGAAACTTTAAGGCAGCCTTTGATTTTGAGGCTCACATGCTGTTTGGTTTGGCATTCGTATTTCTCCTGATAAGCCAGTGGTTAGCACTCATTCTGTTGGTCTAGTCAGTGTAATTTGGTTTGAGTGGAGTTTGTCTGTTTCCATGTGGTCATTCAATCTGATTTGGCTGCTTTGGTCACTTTTGATAACTGTCAAATGGTTATAACACCAGGTTTGTTTTTTAAGTTTGTTGTTACAGTTTTTAGGTTCAAGTATTTTTATTCTGAAGCAGATCATATTCTTTTATAAAGTGTAGTGCAAGCTAACAGACGTTTTTTATTGGTGGTGTGCCAATTTGCACATTATAAGGGGTAATAATAAATCAAGTCTGATAAGATTGTAAGTGAACTGACATTGTAAAAATATACTATTTTGAAGAATAAGATATATAGCTGATATTTTTGGATATTTTTGTCATTTTATATTTCATCTGGTTGTTTGTTGATTAATTTTGCAATCAGCTATAGATGCACAATGGGTTTGGCTACTCTTAATTGTCGTTAGATGTCTGTGTGAAAGGTTGTTTATCTCATTTGTACCCTTAGCAATATATCCTTATTTTCAGCTATTCGTTAGTTCTTCCTATGTAGAATGATTACAGCAGTGCATACTATTATGTTAGGAGATTGTTGACCGATTAATCAACACCAGTTTAGGATGAAAAATAATATATTAACTTTTGTTGTTTAATGTATTTCTCTTTATACATACGTGTGTGTGTGTGTGTGTGTATATATATATATATATATATATAAATTTAATTAATTAAACAGAATGAATTGACTATACACTGGAGAATTTATTTTTCTCTTCATGCTGAGTTATCCCTATTTTGTTTTTATCTGTCATTAATATATGCATTTCTTTTTCCAGTCCTGTGTGCAAAGAACTTGGCAAAGAAAGACTTTTTTCGTAAGTACAGACTTCTTTGTTTGTGTTTGTCGATGTTCTTTTCATTGTTCTTGTAACTGATTTTGTCACCAGCGTGAGCCTGCTTCTTTTTTAAAGCTTTAAGAGATTTAAAAGACAATGATTTGTGTAAAAATGTGTTGTATGTATTACAACTGCACAATATATCAAAAATGTATCGTGGGACTGTGTTGACACTGCTAGATTGAAACAACTTTCACCCTGTAACCATAAACCCCTTCTTCATGGTCAAGGCTTACTTACATACAGGGGTTAGACAATGAAACTGAAACACCTGTCATCTTAGTGTGGGAGGTTTCATGGCTAAATTGGACCAGCCTGCTGGTCAATCTTCATTAACTGCACATTGCACCAGTAAGAGCAGAGTGAGAATGTTCAATTAGCAGGGTAAGAGCACAGTTTTGCTCAAAATATTGCAATGCACACAACATTATGGGTGACATACCAGAGTTCAAATGAGGACAAAGTGTTGGTGCACGTCTTGCTGGTGCATCTGTGACCAAGACAGCAAGTCGTTGTGATGTATGAAGAACCACAGTATCCAGGGTAATGCCAGCATACCACCAAGAAGGACCAACCACATCCAACAGGATTAACTGTGGATGCAAAAGGAAGCTGTCTGAAAGGGGTGTTATGGTCTAAAACCAGGTGTTTCACTGTCTAACCCCTGTATCTGTTCAGTTCTGCCCAGGTGTGTTATTTTCTTAGCCATGTGTTCCTCACCCTGGGCATATCATCAGCGCGCGGCCTAAGTCATTGTGGTTTTATTGTCCAGTAGTGACTTTTTTTTGTCGCAGCACTGTTTAAAAGTGTGCGTGTAACGGTGGGCATCCAGTTCATCTGAAATGGAGACACATTTGGCTAATTCTGAATTGATGAGAATCACTAAAACGCTTGAGTCCCATGTCCCCGTTGCTGGGGGCAAACAACATTTTCAGTTTTCTATTTCTTTGACAGATCTTAAGCTAACAGAAGTTAAAAGAAATAGAAAACAGAAAAAGCTGTGTTTGTCAATAAGTTAAAGTTTGCATGTGGAGAAGAAGGGGCTCTCGCTACCTATACGATCCGAATGTAAAGCTTTGTAAAATCTGTCCTTGAGAGAAGAGTGTAACCTGAAACAAAAGTGTGGACTAAGTCTTTATGTTTGATCATGGACAATCTCAAAACAGTGACGATCATGTTAATACTTTCAGTCAAGACAGCTGCTGCCTGCTTATTATAATAATTCAATAAATGACTTGTTTTATTTGCAGTATTCGCTCAGTCACTCAGATATTCTAAGCAAATTAAAACTTAAAGATTAATCATAAAATTATTACAACCATAAATCGCCCGTCACAACAAATCGATAATGAAATTTGTTGCCAACACTTTTAATAATTGATTTTTATTGATTCAGTGTTGCAGCCATAACATGTACGCACAAGAGAGTAGCAGATAACACTATGGAAACCATCATTCTATCGTATCTCCAGCCACTCAAGATTGGTTTTTCTGCCAAGTGCTGAACATGCACTTTTTTGTTTGCTGTGTAAATGTTGCCTTTTCTTTCTCACACACCCTATTTAGCCCTCATACATTTGTTTTTTAATTTAATATTTTCTGTTTGTTTGGGTATCTTGGAAAAGGTTGATATGACGCATGTGTTACTCCAAGTTGGAAAAGTAAAAACAAACATGAGGTCATAATGGGTTATATGACTAAACGCCAGTTTAGCACCATTCTGTAGCTCCGGATAATTGGAGAAATGAAACGAGCATACTGTTTGTTTCATTGATTTAGACTAAATTAATGAATTAAAGATGTTTTTGTTCTTTTTGTTAATCAAACTGACACATTTGTGAGTACCGTATCAGTAACGTTTGTGAAGAACCGTGTCAATACTAAAGTGGATTGATATTTTAGTTAGTTTTACTTTGAGCGTGTCTTGTTGCTCTTGTTCCATCTGCTTCATTGGAGCAGCCAACCAGAGGCAGGTTAAAATGTAAACAGTGAACTAAATGGGCTTGTCAGATAATTATTTAACTGGCCCTGACTGCACAACAACTTTAGAATCAACATGTTATTGTTAGAAATCAAAGTGGAGCTAGCATGGATAACCAAAATTTACTTTTACTACAAGACTTTATACTGTAAAGTGTGTACATCCATAAAATAATTGAAAATAGGCTTTTTTGTCTTTTCTAGTCTTTTTTTTTTTCCAGCAACCACACCAAAAAAAAATCATCACAATCTAATTTACGTGAATCAGTTGGTGGCTGAACATTTTGTCACACCGGTTTCCTTCTTGATACAAGTTAAGAGTGATCTCCCAAGTTTAAGCCTCCTGCTGAACAAAACCTTTCGTTTTTTTTCTGTTTGTCCTTCTACAGGATTGCCGGATCCTTTTGCTAAAGTAGTGGTGGATGGTTCTGGACAGTGCCACTCTACAGATACTGTGAGAAATACTCTTGACCCAAAGTGGAATCAACATTATGATCTGTAAGTCCAAAACAACACAAACGTGGTGTGACATGTTACTGTATGCCCCTTATGTCTCATCAAGGTATGAGTTCAGTCCTTCTTGTTACAAGCCATTATTAAAATACATACAGAAGGTTTTGTGCAGAAGAAACACCCTTTTGTAATTTGAATGAGCTGTTTTACGACAGAAATAGCATCATGTAGGGTAACATTTAAGACATTCCATACTACAGACCTTATGACAGAAATGCTTTAAAAAGACTTAAACTTAAATAGATTTATTCTTCTTCATAAAAATCAGGTATAGGCATGTGGTAAGTACCTTATATGGAGCACTATAAAAAGTTCTAACCCATGTGTGTGTGTGTTTTTACTGCATCTACAACAGATGTAGTTTTTCAGACACATACTTTAATTTTGAAAAGCTTCTTTGAACCTCAGATCTCCCCATTCTTAAATCCCCACCCACTCTTTTTTTTTTCCCCACAAGCGACCCTTGGCCTCTTCCTCTGGTTCAGGAAATAGCTGACATGCCACAGAAAGCAGATGGGAGTGTGGGCTTGGCAGATTGCCGACCAGCCACACCTCCTGCAACCCTAAAATTTTGGGGGGTGGGGTCTACTCCTGCATGCCATGGATACTGTTGGCCACAGGGTTTATCCATGCGTTTTTATTTTCTCCATTAGTTTGGTTATATTCATGTCATCTTGCGCAAAAAATGTTTTTAAGGATCAAAACTTTTACATGAAGCTTTTACAACTTTGTTAAAACTTCATAAAATTGTTTGGATTGTATTCCTTATGCTTGTCTTTTATTTTATTTTTTTATTTATCAACATCAAACACTTGTGATGTGAAAAGTTCAGAGCATGTTGAGTTTCTTCCTTTAAAACCCTAGTTAGATTCGATACACACCAAGCATTATAAAACTACATGTTAACTATGAATAAAACTATTACTGGTACTGCCTTTAAGTCTGGTCACCCAGATTTAAAATATACTTAAATTAAAAACAAAAAACAGAAGAAACTTTGGTCACAAGGCAAACACAAAATGGGAGTTGAAAGTTTAAGTTAGATTTTTTTAAAGTTCAAGTTTGTTGTTTAAAGTCAGTGTTGATGGGGGGAAAAAAAGGAAAAATAGATTACCAAAAACAATTTGTGCAAAAGTTGACCCAGCTACACTGAGAATATTTGATTTGTATAGCACGCAGAAAACCATTAAAAAAAACTTGGATTAACAAAAAACATAAAATATACTTGTTAATTGGTTTTCACATAAACTATACTGTATGTATTTAAAGCATAATTAATGCATTTTTATGGTTTTCTCAAGCTCAAACTGATCCTTATAGATTTTAATTATAACTCATGAGAAAAGAATGTCATTATAAATTGTTGTTTGCTTTTTGCTAATGAGCTTTTTTCATAGTGATAATGAGTTAATTGAGATCTTAACTGACATATGCATAAAGCACATTTCAAAATGAATTATATTAGTAACTGCAGAAATTAAAAATCTTGATTCAGACAGCATCAAGAAATTACATCACTGGATGCACTAAAATTAGGGTTGTAAAAATAGTTTTGATACACTGAAATATCGCGATATTTCATTTTCAGATACCGTATCAATTCTCTATAGCACTATATTGATTTTTAATTTAGGCTTAAAATGTAAACTTTCATGCAAGCGGTACATTTTTGTGTTATAATTTAGCCTTTCGTCGCTAGTTGACAACAGTCAGCCAGCCATTTGGCTCCCCACACACCTGAGGATTCAGAGAATATAATGCTAGCTCAGATGTTAGCTTTGTGAATAAATGTTAGAACTAAGTACAGACTGCTAAATCTGAGCAGATTAGATCATTACCCTTTGCCTTCAAAGCTGAGGTAGGGTTGCCAACTGTCCCATATTTTAAGCCAAATTATGGGACGCTCTTTCTCCTGACTGCAGTCTACAGTCTGCTGTCACAATACAGCAGGTAGGTAGGCATTTGTCTAGTGCCCTGAGCTGAAGGGTGACCCTGAGGGGCTGAAGTGGCCAAGTGCAACAACCCTATAAAACACTGAGGGCAGTGAAATGACTGCAGTACTTGCACTACCCCCTTAAGGTGTCTCATGACATTAGCACAGATTATATCTGCTTCATTTCATCCATTTACTGAACTTCATTACAAGATATAGGCTATTTGTAGATATACCAGTAGCCTATATCAGATATGGGCTACCTCGGGGCGGCTGTAGCAGAGTGGTTAGAGGAGTGGAACTGGAACTGGAAGGTCGCCGGTTCGATCCCCCGTCCAGCTGTCTTAGTTGTTGTGTCCTTGGGCAAGATACTTCACCCCTAAAGGGCTCGACACACGGGCAGCGACAAACTACAGCGATTAACGGCTGTCATCGCAGCCAGGGTGAAACCCGACACACGGGACGCGATAGCGATCGCAGCGTTGTGAATCGTGCTCTCAGATCTCTTGTCTTCAAGAAATTTGATTGGTTCTTGACTCTGAAGGCGGGTGTGCATTACGGACGTGTAAACTAAACAAATCTTGCGATGCTAATGAAATTAAAAAACAAACACACATCAAGATACAGTTTTATGAGGAAAAACTTACCATAAACTTCACCCTGGTGCCAATAAATTCCCACTAAGCTTTTCAGTGATCACTTGGTGAAAGTGTTAGCTAACTGCAGTGTGTAGCATACTCTCCTCTCATTGGTCAGTCAATGAAACCCTCGCTGGTTGGTTGTACGCTAAGCGACGGTGACAAAAGTTGAACATTTTTCAACTTTCATATGTCGCGTCACAAGCTCGCCTGTGCACGTCTACGTGTACGAGCGCGAAATTTCACATGCACTATTTTCGCCGGTCGCTTAGCTGGAGGAGGGCACGCGATTGTCGCCTCACCGCACAGGCTCCATAGGAAATAAATGGAGAGCGAGCGACGTCGCCTCCCGTGTGTCGAGCCCTTTATGCCTCTGATGTGTGTCCCTTCAGTGTATGAATGTGATTGGCACTGATTAGTCTCCATAGATGATTGTACATGTTAGCTTTGTAGAGACCTAATAGAGTGCTGTGTGAATGGGTAAATGAGGACACAGATTGTAGTGTGAAGTGCTTTCAGTGTCCTGGATGGATAGAAAAGTTCTATATAAGTACAGACCATTTACTATTTATTGTTAATGTTGTGAGTGACACTATTTTTTATGATATTTTAAATCTGAAATCTGCCAAAACTATTTCATTATGTTATTTAATTTGGCCTAAAAACATGGATGAAAATAGGAAATATGAAACCTATAAAATAGATATAAAACGTTTAATAAATTAGAATTTTTGGAGAAAAAATGACAATATATTGCAATATCACCTAGTGCACAGTATCGCAATGTATTATGAAATATCATATTGTTGACCCTCATGTTATATGTATCATATCGACAATTTCTTGCCAGTACACAATCCTACTAAAAGTGTAAAGCTTAAAAATAAAAACAGTTATTAAATTTCACTCCTTACATAGCTGTTTTCTTTTTGCTTTATATACAGAAGTGTTTTTATTAGAAACCCCCCCCCCACTCTTTGCAACCTACACATGGTGTAATATTGAGTTTGCATGAAAGCAGGATACTAGGCTGTAATTACATCCAAGTCAGCAAGAGTGCAAATCTGCGTTTGAATGTTGTGCACAATGTGTGTGTTTACTGCAAGAACGTTTTAGGTCCCAGACAGTGGTAGAACACATCACAGGGACTTCCTCTGTTCTTCAACCACAGCTAGACAGTCCTCGACTGCGGCAGTTCCGTACACACGTGTGCGCACACATGTCTGCAAAAGGTTGAAATCAAAACCGTTTATTTAACAGATGCAACACAGAATAGAAGTTTTTCTCTGTGTATTAAAATGCTCAAGTGGAATCCTTTAAGTTAGCAGCTAACTTCTGAGAATAATCTCTCATCAGTTGAACTTTCTGTTCCTGTAGTTTGATTTGCTTGCAGTGTAGATACAAAGTCACTTATTTGATTGTTGGGATAATTTCCTCCTTTTCATGTAGTAATGTTAGAATCAAACCTACTTTGTCAGCATTCTTTTTTTTCCGTCTTCTTCTGACAGTTATATTGGAAAGACAGACTCCATTACTATCAGCGTATGGAACCACAAGAAGATCCACAAAAAGCAGGGCGCAGGTTTTCTGGGCTGTGTCCGCCTCCTGTCCAACGCCATCAACAGACTTAAAGACACAGGCTGTGAGTACCTGTTTGTGTTTCCGTCTGCATATGTGTCACTGAGCATTTGTTAAAAATAGATCACCGGTGTCTGGTTTCTTTGTTTTCATTCTGCATGTCTTGAATGAAAAAAATACAAGTCAGACTAGTTTGCTGAAAGTGACTTGGAGGCTCTCTGCTGTCACAGGGTAGATAAATATTTTAACAGCCACCTGGTGGTTAGGTGAGTCATATGACTGTTTGCACATCCTGCACTTGGTTTTATCACAAATGAGATGGCAGGACATTGGTCCTCACCATGTTTTTGTCCTTGTACTGTCCGCTTCTCGCAGATGAAGCACGAACAAGAGTGGGGAAGGCAGGACGCCGCCACGAAAACACAAACCGTTCATTAAAAGTTTAACTGGCTTTCATTCAAATTCAGGTTTCTTTTTGTCATCTGATGCAAATTGAGAAAATTCAGTTCATTTTTCCATGCACATAATCTTTTGCAATCTTTCAAAAAAAGTAGATTTCAGTTTTGTAGTATCATCGATACCAACACATTCGCAGATGCACACACATCTCGACAAAGATCTAAACGAGCCAAATGATGCAACCCTTAGCATATCATAGATCATGCAGGTGTACATGTGGGCCTGCTTTCGCTCTACATAGTTGAGTCTGTTGCAACACAAAGTTTTTAAGGCTCACAGGAATCAGCGTGGTGAGTACTTCTGGTTAAAAGTCTACGTTTTTTTTTTCTCTGAAATCTGATTACTGCTCTTGCCATGTAAGGCTCAGACTATCCCTGTTTAGTCTAGACATGTATTCGGAACAGATGCGTGTTCACAAACAAGCTACACAATTGCTCTGGCTCTATTTATAGACTTTTGTTTTATGTTTAATAGAACAGGAATTTATTTTAACTTCCTTTGATGCATCTTTGTGTCATTACTCATTATTTCATTTTTCCCCCCTCTCTTAGCGCTGACGCAGTTTTGTCTTGGGTCTAATTGGGTTTCTTAACCTGAAAAAACACTTTTTCTTTTGAGTTGTAGTTAAGCATGTCCTGGTCAAAACATCTCATCATATACAAGTCCTGTCTTGTTGAACAGTTTATAGCCTTTTGTCTGCCAGATACTCCAGCTCACATTATGTTTATTTTCTTTTTGGTATCAAAAAGTCACATACTCAACAGGGCTATGCTTATAATGTTATGGCTGATGGCTGTAAAAATACATCTGGCTGTGTTTTAACTAATGTGAAGCAAAAAAAATCACTATGTCAACACATAGTCTAATGTTTACACATGAAGCCTTCTGTGAACATAGAGGGACAGGCTCTTCACTCAAAAACACATTTTTGACACGGAGATTGTGAATTTTTCTAAATTAAAATGCAGTGTTAATTTTTAATATTAATCAGATAACAAAATGAAAGAGGTTCTGTTGATTTTGTTCTTTTATGGAAGTTCCTGTTGCACATGAAGAGCTACACCTCTACTGATAGATGTTTTTGCATTTCCCTCACAGGTTGGCACATTTGTCCTGAAAATACGTCAGTAGTGACAGGATGAGTTAATGGTTTTGTATTAATTGCAGATCAGAGATTGGATCTGAATAAGCTGGGCCCCAATGACAACGATACTGTGAGAGGACAGATAGTTGGTAAGAATTATTTAGTTTCAGTTCCATGTTTTCTGTATTGGATTTAGAGACCAAAACAAAAGTTTAGACTTACATGTGTCACAAGTAGTGTAATCTTTAATCTTTTTATCTTACAAAGTAAAATCTGTGATTACATTATATTTGGGAGTGTTTTAAACAACAAAGTTATATTACAATGCTATTTGGAATTCTCACAAATGATATTAGTCATTATTGCTTGAGCCAAGTGGTCTTTAAACATCACTGTTTTACTTCTTGTTTGTGTAACGATAGTGAGTCTACAGTCCAGAGATCGCATCGGGACAGGGGGTCCAGTAGTGGACTGCAGTCGTCTGTTTGACAATGACTTGCCTGATGGGTCAGTATCAGGTTTTCAATAAAAACAGCTCATCCTATAGGTCATTAATCTATTCATTTACTGGAAGTCTTATTTTTTAAGCTGTTGTGAATATATTCATGCTAATATGTGTAAGTATGGGTAAGATTTGGGTTAGTTTCTATTAATTTTAAATGTTTTAATCCAAGTGACATTTTAGAAATCATCGGATTGTGGTGTTCACAATGTCAACTAATTTTATGTAGTTCACCGTGAGATCATCTTGCTTATTTAGTCCGATTGTTTTCACTGTTTTAAAGGAAGCACGATGTTGCTGTTTTTAACGATCTGGTTTAATATTTTCATGAAACAGCTGGGAAGAGAGGAGGACAGCCTCTGGAAGGATACAGTACCTGAACCACATCACACGCACCACACAGTGGGAGAGACCTACCAGGTACCAGCTGAGAGAATTTCCCTCATGCTGTATGGCATATTGCCATAAAATAAGTAGAATATGGAGCTTTCTATCAACATAAATGTAAATAATCCACTCTATTCTGTATATTATGGTGTTTCAGTAAAGCTAGTAGTAGTACTTTCCTTTGGGGGGGAATGTACACTTCCACTTAAAGCACAACAATAACAGTCTGGTGGTAATGAGTGCTGTCAGTTTCCTCAGTTCCCCACCCAAACATGTTCTTGTGCACACGGACAGACCAACAGGCAGCTAAATAAACTAGCCAGTCAGTCGGGCAGCCAGGTTTCACTTGGCCCCTCCACCCTCACCCCACTTGCTGCTGAAACAACTGTCGCCTTCCTGCTTGTTTCATATCAGCAGAGTCATTAGGGAAGTAAGCAAACAAACCTCTCCCTCTACTCAGCCAGTCTATTACATGTCTTTAGTCGACCACGGACAGAATAGCAAAAGTGAGGATTGACACACGGGAAACGCTATGAAGAACTACGGCACTGAGGGAAGAGGAAATGTTGAAATAAAGGAAGAGGATGAGCAGGTGAACAATAAGGTGTTACGTGTCGCATGAGCGTAGCACTCAGTATGTTTAGGCTTCACTTAGTTTGGACTGATTTAGAAACTAGAAAGAAAGGAGGAGAATGGAGACGGGATAAGAAAAGTGAAGGCAGAGCTGGAGAAAAATAAGCATGATGGAGGAAATGGGTGGGAGAAGAGTGTGTGTAGAGGGCTTATTGGCCCCGAGGCTTTAGATAGCTAAGGCGTCAGTAACTCTGGCCAGACAGTGGTTAGACGGAGACACACACACGCGCGCACACATACATACACACACACACACACACATACATACACACGTCCACAGTGTGTATAATTCAAACACAAGCACGGGTTTATTAATCCTAACTCTTGGACTTCTCGCACATGAGCAGAAATCAACATTCTTTAAATGTTTCTCCTGCACAAGTGCCTTTTCGTTTTGTGTGTCCTCCTGCGTGTGGAACCTGTTCTCGTTGTTAAAGCTACGACNACACACACACACACACACACACACACACACACACACACACACACACACACACTTATATACACTGTCTGTCAGAAAGTCGACCAGTCTGTGTTTGTCTGCTTATCACATATCTATGTCAGTTCTGTTCTTGGGTAACACACATGCTAGCACAGGCTGTTGTGTCGTGAGGACTTTTTGTTAGTTTTCTTTTAAAGGCGACTTGTAATCTTCTGTATCGCTGAAATCGCAACAGCTATAAAAAAAAACACATTAATCTTCTTGTGAGTTCATGACACAGGACGTCCACAGTATTTGCATAATTCTCGTATGCATATCTTAACATTGCAAAAATAAGTCATCTTGTTTCCTGCATGACTTAACCCCAAGCAATACTGAAGTGTTTAACTCATTATTTTCTTTTACAATGATTTTTAAAGGGGGTATTATGCAAAATCAACTTTTTTGAGCTTTATAAGATGTTATAATGCCATTTCCTCTTCAAAAATATAGCCAGCAGTGTTGCTTTGTTTCATTCATGCATGTTTGAAAAGTCCTTGAATCTCCTGTGGTAGCCATATGGAGCTGTCTGGTACAAAGCAACGCCTATTTATACCTTGCTCCTCCCTGGAGCACAGTCCTCGAGTTCCTGCCCCACTTTTATTGTGTAAATATATTTTGAATGCCAAGGAAAAAAATTTTTCTTACAAAACTGTTAGGTTGTAAACAGCATGAAGCTTTGTTGTGATGACGTGCTGAAGTAGGAGACAGAGGCCAATTGCAAGGCGTTTAGGTAGGCTACGATTCAAAGTCTAATTTATTTTTGACATGTACAGTGTTTTCATAATAATTGAAGGTAACATAGTTACTTGATTGTGGTGTAGAATTGAACTGTGTGCCTGGAAAATACACAACCTCCCTTTAGGTAAATCTAAATTTGATGCACACACATTTACTAAAACACTAGAGTGGGTCAGAATCAGAGCCTTCACGCACAGAAGACTGCAGGTTTCAAACATGAACATACACTCTGCTGTCTTTCAGGCCAGCGTCAGAGTACTCCAGCCCATCGGGGCGTCCCCTGAGCTGTGTGGTGGATGAGAACACGCCAGTGATGACTCCCGTTAACGGGGCTGTGGCCTGCGGTCCTCCAGGCGAACAACGCGTTCAGGAGAGACGGGTTCGATCACAGAGGCATCGGAATTACATGAGTCGAACTCACTTACATACTCCGCCCGACCTGCCAGAGGGTTACGGTGAGAGAGCCATGAAACAAAACACTTCTTTTGACAGTAGAATATTATTGGTTTAAAACAACAACAAAAAAGACATTATCAATTTATTTCATGCTTTGCATCAACATTTGTAATCATGAGCATTGAGGTGCCTATGTAAAAGAAAGAAGGAGTGAAAAAAAGTTACTTTACATTATGGAAGTCCATTGTGATGATGCCATTAGCTGTTAAGGCTAACATTTATTTTGTGTAACTTTCAGCAAGTAATTCTCCTGAGATTAATGCTTGAAGATCTCGTTTCAAGACTCAGTGTGTGCAAATTTGTTTTTGAATCTTGAAACGTTTCCTCTTAAAACCAGATTTTAAAAAGGTAAATCAGCCCTCTGTTCTCAGATTGGTAATTTTCGATGGCCTGATGAGTTGTCAGGTATTTCACACCAGCATTGGTGAAATTTAAAACTAAAAACAACTTTTCATGGGAAACACAGTTAGTTAAAGGTATTATATCATGCTTTTAAATCCTTCTTTTTCACGTCTAAATCATTCACTTATGGTCTATTTAAAATAAAAATGCAACACTTTGGTCTTAATTCCTCGTTTTTGTTGCTCCACAGACTCCTTGCTTTCCTTGCTTTTACCCCTGTTCTGAGCTGCGTCTCAGAGCAAGCTGTTTTGG